ATGGCTTAATTTACCACTGACAGCCAGGACGACTTGCATATTGTAACCTTGTCTTTCTGCATTATTTACATCGGAGTATCAATAGCATCTTGCTGAGCGTCTTAGTTTTAGTGACAGTCTATAAAATGAACAAATTATGTTCTAGTTGTAGCAGATACAAATTTTATCATTTCTTACTCGAAATAGAGTAATCAACTTTTGTCTCGTAGTAGTATAGCCTTATATCGAAGCTTCAAGTAGCATGTAGAAGGAGTTAAACTCTGAGTGAGATTGTAGCAATACCCTGCTAGAGCAAGTGTACTGTCTGCTCATAGTAGTTTATCAATATTGATATGCTGCTGCTACCTATCGGTTTGAGATTTATATTATTAAATTATAGTAATTTAAAACAATTTGATCTGTTCATAATATGAGGTATATTACAGTATGTACATCATAAATGACTTAAACATTAATAGAAGCAAGGCTTTTAAGGAAATGCTATTATCATGGTTGCCCATGCCTCATTAGTTGGATTAATCGATCTTTTAAATCTCTTTGTTTACAGAAAATTTCGCGTCAGCAGCGAAAAGTTGTCATCGATGCTCGATTTAAGCGCATGTTTGAGGATAAATCCTTCAAGACGATCTGTAAGCTATAACTAAAATTTTAGAAATTTGCTACTGCTAGTGGCAATTTATGTAATGTATGCATTGTACAATAAGATTCATGGCTCAATGAGGATATTCTAACAATGATCTACAATTCTACTTCGCGGTGAAAACATTTTGAAATTACATATTAAAAGTATTTAGTCGTAAATAACTAATAGATAATGTTTCAATACTGTACATTGTTATATGTCCCTTTTAAGAAGAACTAGTGACACTAAAACCTTGCAGAATTAATCCATGTTAGATTTTTGATAACTTTTCTAAATTAGGATGATGATCTATACGCAATGAATTAGATTACTTAAGGAGTTGCCTTGGGTGTATCGCCACTAACTTAAACTGTGCTTATACCGCATCCGTACTAGCATTGATAGAATCCTGACAATCTTGTGACTTTTCCAATTTATTATAGATACCGTCGACAAGCGAGGTAAAAAAAGTACTGAAACATCCACCGAAAATCTGCGTAAATTCTATGAACTGGACGATGATGATGGTAAGAGTTCGTATCGTTTTACTTACATAGCACATTCAGTTAATGCTTGATCTGTGTACCTACGTGAAAATTATTATAATTTGTCTTATCATTGTATTTTCAATTAGGAGATAGTGATGATGATCACGAGGAACATCAATCTATAGAAGGGTAAGCATACTTAGTTAATGGATAGCATAGTTGATAGCAGCAGCCTTAATTGCTTTGATTTGAAAGGCTGGCATAAGTACGATAAAATCGAAAGAACGTTTTCTAACCGTGAAGATACATTTAAGCAGTGCTGAAGCAATAATACTAAATCTGAGATTATTTACCTAATTATTATTTTTGTGATGTGAACAAAAGTTCCGGTAAAGATGGCATCCGAAAAGACAAAAGGAAAAGTATGAGAAATTTGTAAGCAACTACTGTTAGCATGGAACTTTAAAGTTTTTTTGCAAATATGTGTCTATGATATTTTAGTGGATAACTCTTCGACTAGTCGTGAAGTAGAAAGCTCCGAAACTTCCGAGGACGATGATAGTGAAAAGTCAAGTGGTGAATATAGCAAGGATGAAGTTAGTGACGAAGACGCAAGTGATACTAGTAGTAGCAGTAGCAGTTCAGAAGACGAAGATAGTTCAACGGATGGTAAACCTGGAGAGGTAGATTTTTGATATTTTTGAGAACAGCAAATTATGGATGTAAACTTTAAAATTTCTCAACTCATTTGAAATACTATTTATTAGAAGTGTACGAAATCTATTATTGTTGTCATTAGGAAATCGTACACCCTTGGGGAGAAATAGAAAATGTAGTCCACGCTGAGGATGTCACATCCCGCTTTGCTGTGTGCAACTTAAACTGGGAATTAATTACTGCGGATGATTTATTTGGTGTGAATATTTCTCACTTTCTCAAAAGCACAAATAATTTAGTGATACTTTACTAATATTGCAAATGACACGCAAACTTTAGCACTCTTCTACTCTTTTAAACCAAGAACTGGAATTATAAAATCCGTTAAGGTACTTTATGATCGTTCATAACGTGTTTTCTTGACCATTTATTTAGACGAGATTTTGTTAGTTCTTAGTCATAATTTCATTACATGTAATCATTATATTAGATTTATCCTTCCGAATTTGGATTAGAACGTATGGCTGCCGAAGAATGTCAAGGGCCAGGAAAATTTATTGATACAGATGAAAATGTTCAGGAGGAAATTTCTGAGGTAGCATTACTGAAAATTGATACAGCAGATAAAATTGCTAAAAAGTCGATATTGGTTTGATGTACTTCCGTTTTTGTTTAGGGGTCTGAATATGCAAAAGAAAAAATTAGGCAATACGAATTAAGTAAACTAAAGTACTTTTATGCAGTGGTTGAGTGCGGTTCCCCTGGTAATTCTATATATGTAAACGTACGTGAGGTATTACGAATACGGCACTATTATCGAACTTTTTGTATGTACTTGCATCTTATAGGCACTGCAAATGCTATTTATGAAGAATGTGACGGTTTCGAATACGAATTAGGAGCCAGCCGTATCGATTTAAGGTTTTTTAAGCTCTTCAGTTCCTGAAATTTAATACTTCATCATTACTGTGCTTATGCACCTTCATATTTACATACCCAGTCTTGTCTTGATAGATTTATCCCGGATGATATGAAATTTGACCTGGAACCACATTCAGTTGCCCTAGAATTACCAACAATATCAGACAGTAAATCCCAGACGTACGTCTAGATATAGCTGAGTCTTTGCTGTTTTGAGAGTATTGTTTAATACTTTGTCTTATCAAAGAAGTTCTAAATTGTCTGTGCATTCTTCTGTTAATTTATCAACTTTGAAAGTTTGCTATATAAACATTGCAACAAAATTATGTTTTTAGTTATCGTGTAAATGCACTTCAAAGTACTAATATCCAATTGACATGGGATGGCGTTGATAAGCAAAGATCAAATTTGATGAAAAAAAAGTAAGACTTTGCCTGATTTTTTATTTTGCTATTCAATCAACAGCTTTCGCAATGTTGTAAGTTTGATGCAAAATAAACTTGTTTCATCAGGTTTACTGAAGCTGAGATTAATGATATGGATATCAAAGCCTATATTGCCTCATCTAGTGATGAAGATGCAAAGTATACTTCAAATTTTTTTACCTAGTTTAATGTAGTAAATTAACTTCTAACATGCTGCACTATCTAACTTTCACGTCTAATATGCAATCTCTGTGTGTATACAGAGAAGAGAGCGATAACGACGGCAAAGCGAATTTAAAGAATAAATATCAGGTATGATCATATCTCACGATGTAAAGTTATTGATTTGAAGTGATTTCTTTGTTTATTTTGTAACTTCTAACTGTACATGTTTTTAACAGGCATTGGTACAAAGTGCTAAAAGCGATGGCGAAGATGATGAAGAGGAAATGGAAATCACGTGGGAAACAGGTAAATTCTCTTTATTATCATTCTTCTGTATCTATAGGAAAATATCTGATATGGCAATGCAATTTTAAAGGCCTTACCGATATGGCTGAAGAAATAGCTTCTAAAACTAAAGGTAAAGTTAGAAGTGATTACTTGAATGCTTTAAAAATGTCGTTTATAGCGTAATACGGAGAAGCCTAACATTTTTCGTATCGAATTTATAGAAAAGTTAATGAATAAGGGTCTTACACCATGGGAAAAATATTTGCAAAAGAGGAAGGAAAAAAAGAAAGAAAAACGACTTGCTCATAAGGTTTGTTCCAGTATTGAAATACTGTCTATATTCAGTATAACAGACGTAACTTTGAGGCTGTGAACTTTACAAAATATTAATGTAGACCACTAGAAATGAAGATATATCAGATGTGCCTGCTGACATTGACATAAATGATCCATTCTTTGCTGACGAGCTTAAGAATAGGCGTAAGGTAAGGTTTACAATTCCATTTGGCTTTTTATGACCATTTGATCCTAAAATGCTCTTTCAAATTTGATTTGTAATTATAATAAAATAGACTTCTAATGAGCGTAATGAAAAGAAATCAAAACGACAGCTAACTAAAGAAGAGCTGAATCGATCCGCGGAAGAGAAATCAAAATTAGAGTTACTAGTTTTAGATAGTGATAATAGCAGAAGCCATTTTAATATGAATGTTAGTTTCCAGTCACTATGACTTTACGTTTTGCAATTACTTGTAATTTGTTCAAATTAATTTTCGATAATGGTTATTATTTGTAGTCACTAGAAATTAACAATCCCAAAAAGAAGAAAAGGAAACTGGATACTAATGATTCCAAGGATGTTCGTTTCACAACTTGATCATAACTTTATAGTCATGCAATAATGTAGTCACTTAGTAACGATTCAAATCACTGCTATTGCTTTGCTTTACTTTTGCGTGACGGAAGGTTCTATATTACATTTATTAGGCGCCAGAAGATAATTTTGCAATTGACGTTAATGATACGAGATTTAATGCCTTATACAACTCGCATGAATTTGCAATTGACCCTTCGGATTCCCTATACCGGTAAGTATCAAAGCTGAAGCGAACACGACATGTATTGACTCTTCGCGTTGACTTGAAATGGATATTTCAAATGGGACTTTGTATACTGTAGGAAAACAAAAGGAATGGAAACGTTACTTAAAGAGCGACAGCGAAGAAGACGAAATGGCGACGAGAACGCTGACAGTAGTAGCAATAGTGGTAGGTAAACGTATAAGGCTGAGGAGATTAACCCTATCAGCATAATAGGATAGCTACAAAAAGAGTGCGATTTGAAATAAATTATTCTAATAATTACTTTATTATTAACATGTCCATTTAATTACATAAAGCTAAGAACAATAGCCAAATGAAAGATAAAAGGTATAAATACATAATTAATTTCCGATAATGAAAGATATTCTGTGTATGATATCATTACTTGGCTGCTAAGAACCAACTCTACGATCATATTCACATAAATATAGTATATCTGCACTTGTAAAGTCTGTAAAAGCCAAATCTTTGCATCTTCACGGCAAGAAATCGAGCCGATTACATGGAAGAAAAAAAGATGGAAATAATGCAACATAAGCACATATCACGCAGGTACAACAATACTAAATACAGTAAAGCAGACATACTTTTATGTATTTTATTACATAAAATACGCTGAATCTAATCTTAGCGCTATTAATATTTATAATTTCATAGATTGGCATTCGTATATGGCATCAATTGAAAAAATATTAAATTGCAGGATACTGCAGTATATGTCGGAATGATACAGAGTTGTTGGTTACAAATTGGATTGATATATATTTAAATTACGAGATATTAATGCCGTATTGAAACTTTCATTTTTACTTGATATAAATGCAAGTGTTATATTTGTTACTGATATATAAAACTGAGGAGTTATTCCAATTTTACGAAAACCTTTCAAATAAAATGGTCTAAACAAAATATGGACATTGCCTCATTCTTTTGTTAACACTAGTATTACCGTAGTAGCTAAAGTTTAAATTGAATAGTAAGGTTTAGGTTTTTCATGTAACATTTTTCAAATCAGCTGTAAATAGAACCTAGATAAGCATATAAGAGCAAAATAGAAACGAATTTAGCGTAGCAAATATTATGTATATCCAATCTGTTAAATATTCAATTATTCTATTGACTTTAATATTAGGCATAATTACAGAGTGTGCCCATCCAGCATAAGGGCCGTAGAGTTTTAAGAAATATTCACCTAAATAATAAAAATAGACCGTAGATAATGTGTTATTTGTAGTCAAGAAGCAATTCATGACTTAATTTTAAACTAATTTGATATTTATGATATCATTTGTTTCGTTACTTACTAATCTCAGTATAAGCTTTTCCCGTAAGTGATTTTTGTTTTCGGAGGCCTGGAATGTAATATCTTGATGAAATCTGAAAGACATGTGTATCTACCGGTACAACCGAAGGCTTATCTAAAGACATTAAGCAAATGCAGTCAGCTACTTTAGCTCCAACACCATATAACTGCCGCAGCTGTTGCTGGCATTCTTTGTACGGAGTCTGACGAAGTGAATATAGCCAAGCGACACTAGGATAACCAATACGAATCCGATTTAGCTTGAGAGATAAATTTTTTAAAATTTGTTATAATGGTGCAACAATTAGTTAATTTTACCCTTTCTTATTCAAAATCTTTGCAGATTCATTGATGTACTTTGCACGGTAGCCAAATCCCATATCACGCATCACTTTCTCTGCATCATGCTGTGCTAAAGCTGCAATCTCAGGAAACTGATAATAATCGATGCCATCGACATTCAAAAGTCTAACATAGTTTAACAGTATAAGAAGAGTTCAATTTCGCCTAACGAAAACGTTCTTCTTACATGTATGCCTAATATAATGAATTAATTTTTATCGCGAAGTTATGAGTTTAACCTACTTTCGACCATATCTTTTGCATAGATTACCAACCATACCGGTAATTCTGGAAATATTATTATTTGATGAGCATATAAAGGAGAATAAATTTTCTACAGGATCTTGTCTAAGAATACGAATTCCGGTCATTGAAGTAGCAACTTTAGCAAAATTACTATCAGCTTTACTCCATTCAGCATACAGTTGTCTTAAATTGACATCTAGCTGAAAATAGTCTTTAATGATAGAGTCAAAGGTTTGGTATTGGCTCTCAATGGCATCCATGCTTTCTAAACGAATATAATTAATGTTAAGGAGCTAGCAATTTCTAATGTGACATGTTCACTCGATGACCAAGTCGCTAGCAATTGCTTTAATCTACAAATAGCTTAGTGTACATAATATAGAAGAGTTAATTACATGAAGAAAGGGTAATTTTCACATTCAATATGGACAGGTCTTACCCTCCAATCTGTAGCATTATTGAATGCAAACTATTACGAATTTTTCAACAAGTTACCTTGGTAACCAGCTCCCTTCTTGGCAATCACATGCCGCCGACCGAGGTCAGTACCAGCTTTCCTCTTCCTTTTCGATGAAACCTTGGTATCTTTCCATGGTCCATGAATCATGTATAATAAATTTTCATCATTTCTATCTTGTTTTAACGTCCATACCATCTCGGCAATTACTCCACGCCATGACGCTTGAGTATCACCATCTACTGTTGCTGTTTCGTTCTCGCGAGCGATCTTTCTCCAAGTAAATTGTTGACCACTTTGTAATGTCTTACTTAAATTTAGCTCACCCCTAGGTAATTTAATTACACGCCAAGTTTTGAACAGCGACTCTGCCATGAAACTAGTCGAATAAATAATTAAAATAAATCTCTGGAAAATCCTACAGTAACTGCTACCATGACTAATTCATTGCATTACATAATGATGCCATCTACAACGTGTGCATCCTATATCCAGTAATATCATTATTCCACCGATAGCAATTAATTAAATGATTTAAAAATGTCCACTACAAATACAAGTGTTGTTATTACTTGAAAATTAATATACTATCCATGTGTATTCTATGAAATATAGCAATATTTGATAGCTTCCTAGCGTTATTACCTGACTTGTTTTCGTTTGGGCGCAGTACTCGTTATACCCAAAATCAATGCAACCAATCGGACGCTGTAGTCTGCACGTAAACATACAATTGCAATTGCGAATGCAAATAAGTTTACGATGGTTTATCCAATAACTGCATAATATAGAAGAAAATGCAGCAATTTTTAAAGCTCTACTGCCGGCAATGGAAGATGGAGCTCGAATGATTTCACAAATTACGATCGCTTGTGATATAGTACTCTAGTATACCGTAGGCTGTCTTTTACAAGTACTGTATGAACACCCCACCTACCAATTCATACTAATGAAGTAAGCTTAAAATCCTACATAATACACTACCCTATTTGCAATATCAGAATTGATGCTCCTACCTTTCAGTAGTAAATCATCACCGATGGCAAGAAGAAGAAACAAGCTTTGCAGTTCTTGAGCATCATTCCCACAAAATTGGCAGAATTACGCGATAGAATTCCTAATTTTAAACCCTTTCCTTGTGTAAGCGTAATTTCCCAATATCGACCAGTTTATTACTGACATACGATAGGAAAAAAAGGACAAAGAAGGAATAGGAGTCCTTGTCAATTTGCAGGAATAACTTACAGAAAAAGGAGCTAGAAATCCAACTGTGAAACGCCTCGATTGTATGCTTCTAAGTATAATTTTTACAAGCTTTGTCTATTAATTATTCGATATTTACAGCTGATTTCTTAAAATAGTAAGATAGCCTTCTTGTCTACAGCAAATTCCTAATTAGTTTATCATCGGTTTATCGTCTGTTAAAGGTTTAAAATTGATCGAAATTTCCCCCAAGATACGTAAACAATTCTCAACATCAACCAAATCGTCAATATGGCAAAGGTAGTCTTAATCACTGGCTGTTCGACTGGAATCGGTCTTAAGTTAGCGCTTAGACTAGCTCAAAGTCAGAATCCAACTTATAAAGTCTATGCAACGATGAGAAATCTAGAAAAGCAAAAGCAATTGGTTCAAGAGGCTGGAAGCGCTTTAAATAAAACGCTGCTAATTCGTAAGCTAGATGTAGGAAAAAGTGATCAAGTGCAAAGTGTGGTAGAAGAAGCCGTGCAAAACGAGGGCAAAATTGATATTTTAGTTAATAACGCCGGTTTTGGATATGTTTGTGCTTTCGAAAGTATGCCTATGGATATCGCTCAACAAATGATGGATACTAATTTTTTCGGCTGCATGCGTTGCATGCAAGCTTGTATTCCACATATGAAAAAACAAAACTGTGGGCATATTATTAATCTTAGCAGTCTAAGTGGCATCTACGGTACACCATTTCATGGTTTATATGCATCAACTAAGTTTGCAATGGAAGGTTTAAGTGAATCTTTAGCACCGGAATTAAGTTATTTTGGTATTTCCATTAGTTTAATTGAACCAGGCCCGGTTGCTACTACCTTTGTTGATACATGGATAGATCGTAGAAAAGATTCCAAAGAGAACAAACAGTTAGGCCAACAAACTCAAAAATTGACTGATGGTATCATCGATTTTATGACTAAGCGGCCACCTGATGTAGTGGAGAATGTCGATCATGTGGTTGATGTCATTATGAAATGCATCAATGATAAACCTCCCTCACTTAGGTATCCAACAACAGAAGTGGTATTAAAGGCTGCTAAACGTAAATTTATTGATCCAACTGGTGACTCCGTAACTGATTTCACGACTAGTTTTTATCCCATTTTTAAAAAGGACTAATCCTACTTTACGTGACCACATAGCAATGCAAGATATTGATCATTTCATATTAACTCTGGAAATCTTGCAACTTTGATTTCATTTGACGAATACTAATTATTAACTGCAAATTCAAGCTGGGTTGAAGTCATATATTGTAACACTTTCTGCCTGCTCGGCTCAAAAACAAGTGATCCATTCCTTTCGATAATACTGTATATCCAACTAAAATTACACGAGCATAGAATTAGAAGTGATAAATCCAAGATGGCATCATCAGATTGATATTTCTAGCATAAGCTGGTAGCCTACCGTTGTGATTATCATGTACAAGATATACTGTATCTTACAAGTTATATAACACTTTCTTAGTACGCATTAATTGATGCCATTTATTTTTTGCTTATACAATATAGTATAAGCTGTCGGTAGAGAAAATAATTTACTGGTGGTAATGCAATTATTTTAAATTATTTTAACACTTACTTCATCAGTCTAATTTGTTTATCATTTCATACTTTGATATGAAATAATTAACAATATCAACTGTTGAACATTGAATCAATTATATTTGTAAATTACAAATGGTAGAAACGTAAAGTAGAACATATTGCGTATATTCATTTAATTTGTATACAGTACACCAATTAATTTCAAGTTCTTATTAATGAATCAATTATATTCTAATAATTATAAGAATTTACAATGATGACTAAAATTTGGAGGGATATTCTAAAAGCACGATATCTCTTACCACTTATCATGTGTATGGTTTAAAATTCTTGAAAAATAATTATATCAATGCTTTTGATATAGTATGATCTTTGTAGGAGTGGGTACTTTTGATATTATTGACGTGAAGTTATGATTGTCCAATATCGCTGACTGTTAACATTTAAATTTAATACTTCAAGGATAACTCTAATTCTATTCTTGCAAGGTCTTTACATTTAAACGATCTTTGGTATCCATATTTGGAGCATTTAATACACAATCAACTAATACTGTGCTGATTATGCTACGTGATAATATACATAAAGTGTATAGCACGCGCTAAACAAGTAAATGTATTTACTATAAATTTCATTTTATAATCACGTTTTGTGTGTACAGTATATGGTCTTAAGCCTTATTAACAAGTATAAAGCCTCAAGTGTACGCTTCTATAAATAAATCTAAATTTGTGTGCATAGATCATGTTTGATGTTTTAGCTCATGTAGATCTAGAAGCATTTGTTCTAATAAATAGTTCTGTTGATATGGTAGTTTTGTTCGACAATCGCAGACACATCCCATGTTGTGATCATATTAATAATCAGTTACCATGACACTATTTTTTAGAGGAAGATAAATAGAAATTCTCATCATTAGTCGTTCAACAGTATATACATATCACAATATTAGTGAAGGTGTTTAGTAACATACAGTATATTATACATGCGAGTATTCAAGTAGTAGAGCAAGGTTCTAGCATTGATAGCATTAGGCAATAAAATAGTCTTGGCGTTACTGTTTCATCAAATGATAGATATTTCCATCCAATAAATTGGCCACAACTTGAGCAGATACCATACGACCATGAAAACCTAGAGTATGATTGTTAGCACAGAAATAGCATTGATATTTTAAAAGCAGAAAGTTAAAAATAGCATTCAATAACACATAGTTCAATACAATCATTAACTAACCCTGGAAACCAAGACTGATGGGTAGCCTCTTCACTACTCCACGAAGTATTTACGACCTGACTGGTTGTTACAGTTTCATACTGTTGCCCACCAGAATCGACGTAAATTGCTAATGGTCCAACTGATGACATACTAATCAAGTAAGTATAAAGCATAATTAATTTTCATGTTGAAGTTAACGATACTTTCACATGAAATTATCCTACAAGCAAACTATAGTGGTAGGCGAGAGTGAACGTTCTTATTTCATCTAATTACTCATTTTACCTAATTACATCGGCATAACGAGTAATGACTGCTTGACATTGTTGACAGCAAAGCTCGCTGTAACGATTTAAGTAACCAAGTATCGTGCGTAGTCTGTTTATTATATCATCCATGCTAAGTAGATTTAATCTCCATAGAATAGGTACAGGTAACTGGGAAGCCACATTGATAGAGAATTGATCACAACCAATATTATTTTGAAATATTTGGTGTGAGTTGTCGAACCAGCCTGAAATTTGTTTCTTGATTTTCTTTCGTAAGGTAGCTGTGTTATGATGGATCAAAAGAAGTTTACCAGAATAATCAATATGAATTGCAGTAAGACTACTAGTTAAAAAACTATCGCAGTCTACTATATCAGTGTTAGTTATGATAGTATGCTCAAGTTTACTTACTTTTATCATATAATCTATAAACCCATATTGGCCAGCAACTTAAGTTAGGACGAGGTTGGGCAAGTATGGTATTAGCCATAGCTAAATGATCTAAGGTAAATCAATACGTGTATAAGAAAATCTTTTTTTTTTCATACTACTAACCATTACGCCATGAGTGTTTGGCCATTTTAGCCAGGCATTTTAATTCAAACTATGTATTACTGTACTCTACTTTCAAGAACGATACTGTCATAATTTCTCGTATATATTCGCGTATTACACGATGAGATTATTCTATCATCTAGACACTATAACCATGGCCAATCAAGCCAAATTCTATTCACTTGCTACTGTAACAAACAAGACGATAACAATTAATGATGATATCAAGGGTAAATGAAGTACCGTTAGCAGTTGGCTCTTGTGGATCTTGTAGAATCTTGACCTTGCCTGTCGCAAAGAGTTCGCCCTCGACTTGTGAAACTTGAAGTGTGACAAATTTCTGGCGCCCAATGAGTAAACCAACTAGACAACGATCTGAGCCAATTTGGAATGATTGGACATCTGCGGTAACACCATAGAGTGATAAAGCATCGACATGGCGATCATTTTGTCGATCTAAAATATGATTACATGTAACTAGTCCTATGCTTTGCTCTCCTGATAGAAACTCGTCAATTTCAATGTCAATATTCATAAATTCAGCAACACGAAATGGTAGTATTTGTCCAGGAAATAAGGTTATATTATGAAGAGCAAACAACGTAAGCTCTACAACTTGTCCATCTCGATATCGTTGACCAGTCGATGAAGTATCATCGCCATCACTATTTAAATACGGCGATAAATAATAGTGCTGACCAGGCAAGCTTTTATCGTACATCTTAGGGTTAGTCGTCTGTCCAGGATAACCTTCATTCATGCGCTCCATTTCAATTAATCGGGGGTTAATCACAACACGAGTAGCTCGATGAAATCATCAATTGTCCACTATGTGAACATACTAAGTCAATCAAAGCCAATTAGCAGGATCTAACTGAATTCATTCTAAGTCTATAACTTGAATCAATAACATGAATGGAGATAGAGTGATCCTAGAGACAAATTGAAATGATCGAGTAGCAACAACATCGTCGTCCAAATAATCATGGAAAGTAATCAAATCGACATTTAGTATTAAAATACGATCCACCTTCCACGCCCATGCCGACACACCCAAACAAGGCATAAAATGACTGCTAGAGCCAAGCTCATCCATACTCAATCCACTATCGTTATGGACGGTATGCGTATTAATGTAGGGAGTGTCTACGACTATCAGAAGAAGTCCTGCCTACCGTACGTCCTGGACTAATTACTCGCTTGGGTAATGGACAGACGGATGCTACTGAATACAGTACAGTAGAATACTCTTGCTATAGGGCTTCAAGCCCACTCAATCTAGTTGACAGCAACCCTGCAATTAATTGGTAATAAAATAATAACTTTTGAACTTTTAGGCGTGCAACCATGGTCAAGGTAGTTTTAATCACAGGATGTTCTACTGGAATTGGCTTGGCTTTAGCTGCACGATTAGCCAATAGTCCAGGAGCTGAGTATAAGGTATATGCAACGATGAGAGATGTTGGCAAACAAGGTCCACTAGTGCAAGCGGCAGAAAATTCCATCAATAAAACTCTTTTAATTAGGAAATTAGATGTTTGTCAGGCTAATCAAGTAGAAGAAATTATGAAAGAGATATTAGACACGGAAGGCAAAATTGATATTTTAGTCAATAATGCAGCGTTTGGCCTAGTTTGTGCTTTTGAGAATATGCCCATGGAAATTGCTCAAAATATGATGGATACCAATTTTTTCGGATGCATGCGCTCCATGCAAGCTTGCATACCTGTCATGAAAAAGCAAGGCTATGGTCAGATCATTAATGTGAGCAGTTGCTCTGGCATATTTGGTGTCCCATTCTTAGGGTTATACAGTGCTTCTAAGTTTGCGTTAGAAGGTCTTAGTGAATCCTTAGCTCCGGAATTAAACGCTTTTGGTATTAATATAAGTTTAATCGAGCCTGGACCAGTTAATACACCATTTATTGATACCTGGGTCAATATTCGACAAAATTTGAATGAGCAAGTCGATCAAAGAACTGGCCAGATGGTAGATACTGTCGCTCAGACTATAATTAATCGGCCAATGGATGCTAGACAATCTGCAGATGGAGTAGTTGACGTTATTATGAAATGTATACGTGATGAAAAGCCATTATTGAGATACCCTACTGCGGAGAGTGTGACCAATTTAAATAAGCGAAAATTAGTTGATCCAACCGGTCAAACCGTTTTGGATGTTACGAGAGGATTTTACCCAATATTCGATCAATAAATGTATTATAAGCTGTATGAGAGGATGATGAAGAAATCTCATTATAGCTTTACTTTAAGTTCATGATTGATGAACTAGCTAGATGTATACGACATACATAATAATATTATAAACAATATAAAATTTCTGCTTATAGCTTCTACTGTGTAACCGTCTCTAAAATAAGTCAAATAAATGATTCTTTCTCTATCTTCAGACAGTTACTGCTAAACATTATGTTGGACAACTCATCAAATACACAGTTTTCAATTGTTGCACGGTAGCAATTTGCAATTGATAATCACAGAGTCCCTGACTATATACGTTGCATACTGTATACTCGTATGCTACGGCTAAAGCTCGAAATAAGAGTACACAGACTTTCAGTAAGATTACTTGCTACAAAGAAAGGAAACAAGCTTCGTTTAGTTCATTTCAGATATGCAATAAAATGATTAAATGTTTTACTTTTTACTTATTAAAAGCACTTACTTAGCCGTGTAAAGCTCGAAATTGGAAGGATTTTACTCTTAATTCGGGCTTTAGCCGGCTATTATGCATAATAACCGGATCGGGTTTTAGCTGTAACATATATACGAAATATATAATATACTCGTATACATTCAGTTATCAATATATCTCAGAGTAGAGTTTATAAATCTTAAAAAAATTAGGGAAAATTAACAAATTAGAAGATAAATTTACCAAATTTAATAAAATCGATTTTTGAAAGCCTGGCGTTGGTGCAAAGGGAGCTAATAATTTATATATATATATATATATATGTGTAATCATCCTGTAGTTCTACAAAGCATAAACTACTAGATATACCTATCTAGCCCAGTAATCCATGGTTATAGTTGTCAAAGCTAAGCATTATTGTAAAGGGAGCTAATAATTTATATCTATATGCGTAATCATCCTGTAGTTCTACATAGCATAAACTACTAGATATACCTATCTAGCCCAGTAATCCATGGTTATAGTTGTCAAAGCTAAGCATTATTGAGGTTTATGCTTGCATACTAAATTTATACAGCAGTTTTAATTTGCTGTTAATACAAGTCAATCACTAGGCACCAGTTTTCGCCTCTCGCCAATATATTCTGTCAGCTTAGCTATATCGAACTGATTGAAAAATTGGATACGCAATCTAATAGACCTGCTAAGCATGGACGGTTGAGCATATACGTCCACAGGCTAGAGAGCATTCAATCAGTCATGGCATAAAGCGTTCTATTCCATATGCATTTAATTCATCTTGTAGACTTAGCATAGGCAGCCAGGAGTATTAATAGCCCTTGGCTAGGTCTTAATTGTAGCTCTGATTCTGAAATACTGCTTGTATGCATATGCAATTATATCAAGTTAGGTTGCAAGCCTTGATTAAGTTGGAGTCCAACTGTGCAAGCTTGCAGCCAAACCTCTAGCAGACTATAAACGTTGCGCAGAAAAGCTTTTTCTATCGCTTATTGAGTACTGAATGGGATGCAGTATACACCATCCAGATCGTGTTGACATTTTGGTCAAACCTACTTTAATGAGCCAAGCTCCCTATTGCTAGGACCAAGTACTGTCGATCGTATAGGACTGAATGTACTGTATCATACTGTACCGTGGACAGCAAAGTGTCATGAAAGCCTAGCACAGTTGCCCTATATAATCCAAGAGGTTCTGCGGGTGTTATTAGTTTTTATTATTATTAATTATTTTACTGTTGTGATTTATTGCAATTATGACAGCAGTAGATGAAGTTTTGAGCTTAAAGATCAAGTTTAGACCATCATTTATCTTCTAATAGTCAGGAAAAATTAACCTGCATGCGCTTATAGTGTGTAGGAAGATAGAAATATTATCGAGCTAAGTTACCACTTGAAAGATCAGATGTTTGCATAGGAAGGATAGATTGCTAGAAGAATTGCCTGACGAGGCTTGAACTTTTGAACGCTTTGCAATTTATTTCCATACTTTAAAGTCAAGTTAAATTATGGCTGACGAAGAGAACAACCATGATGATATTGAGATCGCTGAACCAAGCACAAGTGATGAAAGTATTAGCGATGATGAGAGTGATGACGAAGAATTTGATGATGCTGTTGACGATTGGGGTGACATTGATATTGTGGAGGTCGCCGGTGAACACGACGATGACGAGCAAGATACTAGCCAGGAATCGCAACAAGACGATGATGACGACAGTAATGATCACAATTTCGATCCCTCTTTACCAGTTCATCATCAATATTTAGGCTCTAACTTAGAAGAATTTACTGGAAGGACAGTTTTTGAAGAAGATCAAGTCATTCAATTACCTATTCTAAGATTACCGTCGCTAGTTTTATTTCCTGGCGAAATGTTACCTCTTCATTTTTATATGCCTAATCAAGTTAATATGGTCAGAAATCTATTTAGGACAAATAGAACACTAGGTGTCGTCAATTTAAAGCATAGCAATCAACAATGTCGATATGGAACAACAGCTGAAATTATATCAGTCCATGCAGATGAATTAGAAGGTGGGATAAGCGTTAAAAGTATTGGTAGGCAACGTTTTTATATCAAAAGTACAAGACGTCAAAGTGATGGAATACTGCTCGCTAATGTCGAGATTATGAAGGAATCGTCTGTAACCAAGTATCCAGCAGGTAGCTGATATGAGTAGGATAACCCTATTTCACAATAAGCAGTTTAAATGATCAATATAAAAATCGAATTATTTCTAATAGCAATCTGCGATACAAAATCAATCTTATGCCAGAAGAAAGGGTTTAAACAGTCGATGTACAAATCAAATTATTTCTACTAGTAATGTGGATAGTATCCTGACTCTAATAATATACTCTAGCATGATTATTAATGTCATCACTAATACTTTACTAATCCTATTTTAAAATGGAAGAGTTTGAAACTTTGAATAGTCAATGTAATCAAATTATTTCTACTGATAGTGTAATAGTTTCAACGATATATTCTTGCATGACTATTGTTATCACCACTAGCATTTCACAAATTTTTACTATACTGCAGTAATAATACTAAGCAAAGTAATTCATAAAATCCGACATTGTAGGCTTCGTCATCTCGAAACCTGGCTGTCGTAACCGAGCGTTGAGTACATACAAAAATCTATCACCTCACCCTAGCTGGCTCTACGAAATGTACAATGAAGGTAAAATATCAACTTTAAAGTGGACTTGACGAATGTATGTAATAATATCGGTAAAAATAATTGACAAATTAAGATAGAAAAGGCATCAAGTATCTCGTTACAATCAATATAGCTAGATCGGGCTGTATGGCGATATATTGTATTGATATGGAAAGTAATCTTATTCCTATTAACTAGTTAAAATCCCATTTTGAAAATAGATTGATACTGTACGCCAGCATAAGTATACTAAGGGGAGATATATGTGCTTCACAATAAATATATATATATATATATATATATAATCGCAATTTTCAATATAGTGTAGTTGTTAATCTCCCTGCATAAAAGGACTAAGCGTTTTATACGTACAAGGCATTGAATTAACAACCATGTATGTTCTACTTGCAGATATTCTTATTCAAAGAATTAAGAAAGAGTTGCTGCAATGGAATAATGCTTTTAACCTATCTAATCTACCCGACGAACCGACGCGCTTTTCATATAAATTAGCTAATGGACTCCCACTAGATGACAACATTCGGGTCGAATTATTAACATTGAATTGTACCGTGTACAGGCTACAAAAGGAACTGGATTTAATCTGTCGCTATACTATGTTATCATGCAGTACTTGTCAATCACCAATAACTGATAAAAAGAATATCTTCAGGTTAGCAATGATAACTTATCAATACTCGATTTTTGAACTCTGATCATCCCATAGTATAATCTATTTCGTAATATAAACAGAATAATTCTTATATTCCTCATAGAACTAATGCAATCATATTCACGACTTCATTTCTTATTTAGTATGTCCATGAATGGCCCAATGTCGTCCTTTGTTAATCCCGGTGGATACGTACATGATACCTTTACTGTCCGAAAAGTCTCCAATATTGTCACCATTGGACAAAAGTCACTACAATATAGCTGGTTTCCTGGGTAATCTTTAATTTATTTAATTTAAACCACCGGTAATGCAGTACTACCTTAATATTCCATCTCGCTTAAACTATAGGTATGCATGGACAATTGCTCAATGTAGTAGTTGCCATCAACACATGGGTTGGAAATTTACAGCTACCAAACACTCATTAAATCCTAAACAATTTTATGGTCTTACTCGTTCTTCTGTTCAACCTGTTATTACACTTGATAGCACTACCGTTTAAATGACTGAGCCAGTATTCTAAAGACTTTGGCAATGGTCTAATTTTAAAGTATTAAATGCATATATCACTACGAACTTATCCTTAACTTTACCAACAGAGTTATCAATAAGATGGTTTCATATTAATACTTTCTCCTATACATCTTCTGATACTTGCTTTAACTTAAAATTAAAAATTCTATACAAGAAATTTATTAACACAATTTTGATCTTAATATTTATTAGTGTATTTTTTTACTGTGCTACTGTCTTTATAAGAGCAAATTAATAAACTATTAAATTTTGAAGCTGTATTGTAGCTGTTTAGAAATTAACGTTAAAAGTATCATGAAACTAGACATATTGTGTAATATATGATTTAAGAGTATATAACTGGAAGCTTATTTATAAACATATAACAAATATATTGTTGCAGTCTAACAGAAGGCATCGTTTACTGTCTCTATTTGTCCTTTAAAAACTAAATTTTATAACTTTAGCCAAATAAACTCTTTTGTGCGTATCGCATTACTTAATTTATTCACTTTGATGCTTGTCAAACTAGCAGATATCTCAAAGTTTTGAGTAGCTTAACTTCATCTAATAGTGACCAATCTACTGCTATGGCCTCTAAGAATTGAGGTAAGCTAATAATAATGCCAGTATTTCCTTCTGGTATATTATATTGATGCATAAGGAATATTGTATTATCTTTGATTCCAACGTATATATCAATAATCTTGTGTTCAGTCTAATCTAAAAGCCATTACCTCCTAAGTTAGTTCGTAGGATAAATACACCAGTATTTTTCTATATGGCACTTGCTTAGAATTTGTGATATAATACACTTATTTACATTCGCGTATCTAATGCTTAGGTGTTTTCTTATTTATTTTTTTCTTACACATAGCATCATCATCAAATCCAATTTACAAACTGTCACGGTACGAACTACCATGAAGAAATAGCCATCTAAATTTGGTTAATATAATATAGTGATAATATATTACAACTAGTTACTTACAGTAGGAATTACTCTAATTATAAATGTGTTACAGTAAATTTAATGCTGTGCTGCAATGTGCTCTGAAATGATTCTGTGAATGGACATATTGTAGTCCAACTGTGAAAAATTAGTTAGTAGATGTTCTCACCTAAGTATTTTTATATGATGACTCATGAATGTTAGCTGCTGTAGAAGGGTATATAAGCCCGTCAGATAGTTAAATAAAGGAGTTCTCAATTGTATAGTTGTTTTAACGTAGAATCAAAGGCGTCTAAATTCTTGTGAGGTAGTTAAGGGATACTGAATCCCGGAGACTATAGTAATTTAGAGATTTGTTTTACGTTATCCTTGTCACGAAGCTGGTTTGTGACACAAACACAGATGATTTTTTTATTATAATCTTTCATTACTGCTTTATTCGGAATATTTATTACAAGAAAAATCTATATTATTATTAACTATACAGATATAGTAGTTTTAGTAATTATAGTTATCATAATAAAATCTATGGGAAAATACCGATTTGATAAAGAAGAGAATTTTTTCACACCTCCTTAGCCAATTTACAAATACTGATTCATTATCACTCTAATTCTTTTACCATCGGTTTAATCAGGAAGATCAAAATATAGTAAAATTTCGATTTTCGTATATGCTAGATAGGGTAGAGAATTTATGCAATCACAGTTATCAGAATGATCTACCTACCGGGATGCCATGTCATAAATAGAAGAAATGGTTTTAATTTATTTTATATTATTCTTTTATAATATGTGTGAATATGACACTAGAACTCAATTAATTCTATTCTCGATAAAATCTGAAAGTGAATTTTACATTTCTACATCAATATTACTTTCTTTTACGTATAGTAATATCTATATGATGGATTTTTATACTATTATAATACAATCGATAGCTCAGACAAATAATGAAACAGTTTCTGTGGCCTATTAATGAACTAAAATAATGAAGAAAAGTTTGACATAAGTGACCGAGATTTATAGCAATTACCATAGCATTTATACTCATATACTTGTTCAAAGATGGGCTATTTACTTATAGAAACATTCTAATATAAGATCGATTTAAGAATTAACAAAAATAAATAATTTGGTTTATCGGGATCAAATATTTTTACGTTAATGTCTTTATAAGGTGCAGTTTAATGTAACACTTGTAGTAACGTTTACTTAATAGTAAAAACTTCGTAATCCTTAACGTAAAAGTTGTATGATCCCATAAGTAGGTTAACAGAAGCATTTAGACCTTCAAATGAGTACGGAAAGTTCGAATACGACTGATCATTGCTATCACAATTCGATGCTATGCATAAATCTGCTCCTGCTCCAAAGGTTGGACCATACCTATCGTCATAATTAAAGATCAGATTTTAATCACGCTGTGCTACATGCCGAATACACCGCATTGAGTGGTATCTAATAGCGATTACTTACTCTTCATCGTACACTAATGCGTACTTTTCTTGCGTAATATCGAATCGACTTGGTGGCATGTCCTGTTGATTTGTTAATGTGAATATAAATGCCCTACAAAAGTAAGGATATAAGATTTAAAAGTTGCACTACAATACATAATGCCGATAGAAAGAGTCATTTATTAACTTCACATCAGAAATTCACTATACTGTACTTTGATGATCTTGTGTAGCTGCCAGATGCTCCTTTTCTGCTCCACGGTTGATCGCTAAAACCACCACATAGATTATCATCGGGCCCCTAGCAGAAACAAATGTAATGTTAGCGAAGTAATTGAATTTAAAATTTATAAAGAAAGTTTCACCAATATTAACCCGAATAAAATGACGCTATATGCAAATACGAACCCTAACAATTACGAACGTCGGATCAATATTATCGCAATATACATGAAATTGTCTTGCACTAAATCCATCGCGTGATGCACGAAATATAAGCTTCCATTGCTGTAATTCATTGCCATACCTAAAATTATAGAATAATTTTGGGTTATATTAATTAGGTTTTACGGAAAAACTATGAGAATTTAGTACAACCAAGCATTCAAATTAGACAGCAAAGCTTACCATCCGTTTAAAATGCTTTGCAAGTATAAATTATCGCCACTTAAAAGGACTGATCCTGAAAATAGTGTCTTCATCTTTCTTGGTTGAAGGCGATTATCAGTAGCAGTATTGAAAGCAGCAGGTACAGCAGCAAAACGATATCTAGAAATAAAAATACGCTTACTATTAAAATCAATTGCTATCAGAATCATTCCACTGTAGGTTTATTGATACTTTACGAGCTTACCAGCCAAAAAATTTCAATGTTGCAATCATTAAATTTTAAGTAGGAATTAATTTATGGAATTCTAGATTGATATGTCTGAACAAATTGCAGGTACCGTACCGATACTATAAGTTCGATTTAATTTAGACGAGTATACATGGCATAGTAAAAGAGAAAAACGATAATGAATATAACCTTCAATTTAAATTAAAAACCCAATTGATAACTGTAATATGGACAAAATTAGAAAAGTAGGATGTATGAATGTAAAGTTAAAGCAACCATTTCGATATACCATACAAGACTAATATCTTTTAGGATGTTAAGTATACACATTTCCATTACCTTTCTAATGACAATTTCATCGGAACAGCACCAGTAGGTTCAATTTCTTGTGCATATACTTCGCTATCAATTAGCAATAATTTAATACAGTGGATCACCTTTGATAAATGCTGTTGGTAGCAGTCATTAAAAGATACCACATATTGAAAATTAAGTCATAGAAATATTTTATATGTACGATTATATTAGATTGGATTACTGGACGAATAGATCATTCATTTTTAATAGAAATAGAAAATGATGCCTATTTATGTCTTACATGCGATACAGCCATCTTTTCACTATCATTCCATGACTTGATTTGACCTGTTACATCAGCTTTATTTTTAGCCCAGCGTAATACTGATCTCCATATTTCCTCTTCAGATAACGCAAAATCATCCCTGCCTACTAATTCAATTAATGATTCATTGCTTAAGTGTAGGAATGATTCAGTATTGGTTACATCTTCGGCATTTTCATCGATAAATGTTAGACAGCTTTTCTTGACCTCATTCACAGCCGGCCATTCTGGAATCAAGATAAATGATAATATTTATACAGTGCAGGACCATCTATGAAGAAGGTTGTTGAATTATACCTCGTTACTAATTAAGTTTTTAACAGCTATATTATAAGCAACTATATGATAAGACAAAATCACTATTTGAGTAAAAATAATATTGAATGCATTGCCTAATTTGTTTACGTATGATAGATTTAAGTAGGGTTTGTTGTTTAATTTGAATGATTATCCAAAAAATGTTGTTTTACCGCTATCATTGGATAAAATAATATCCCTTATCACCATATAGTAGCTAATAGCATTATCAATAGTTCTTTGAGAGTTAATTTGATCAACACAAGCACTTTGCAGGCTAGCGATGCCAAAATCGTCAGCTATCGCCAAGATTGGAAAGACTTTGGAGCTATCTAGATTAATCTGTTAAAAAAATTATAGAAATGATGGTTGATGAATGATAATCAGTTCTATTATAAAGAAACTAATGTACAACTACTTATCAAACATAGAGGTTACAGCCAGATGGATAGCTTAATTTAAATTTTGTTCATTCACAATAAAGTGATATAATTTACAAAGTTTAGAGAATAGAATTTTCTACTGCACGCCTTCAACGAGTGTTTACTGTAGTTTATTGCAAAGATAATTTAGATGTTATGCCAAGAAGGTGTTATAAGTATGTTTTACTGTCCAAGAAAATCTGCCGATAACAGCTTAGAAGATAAATTGAAACTCGTAATTAATTCAGTTTGAATAAGACTATTACAGGCCACTAAGGTTTAGAAGTGTGTTAACATATGAAAACAAGCGTAGATTTAGATCTTGATGTACTTACTACGGACGATTATAAATAGTGATCGCTATTTTTATAAAGAACTCAATTCAAATAATGCTCTGATATGAGGCAATAACTCTCAGAAGGCGTAAAAATAGAATGAATTTCGATAATTTTCTTAAATCCAGTGATGATCGTATGCGACAATTACTAAGAACTGAAGTTTTATAAGGTCTACTGAACTTTTGTTAGGTCTATCAAACTTGTATAAGGTCTACCTAAGTAAAGCTATAGCATTTTGATATCGTGTTTTGAAATGATCAGTGCATGAGAAAATTAATCAATCCTTTTTAACCCCCGAAATAAGTGTAGATAAATTGATTCATTAGTATAGAATATGAGGGCTGTGGTAATAAAATATCCTAAACTAAGGATAGTCATTACTCCTAGTAAATTTTTTTTTTAAATAACGTACACAAGACACGAGAATAAGATTCGCCAGCAGTTAGCGAGTAACCTGATTGATCTAATCATAAGCGAGAATCATCCTGAATTAATTGCTCCACTAGTACACTACTGTAGAATTAATCAATAAGAATATTGGCAGGGTAAAGATTTCCCTGAAGAGAAAAGCCAAACCAGACATTCTATAGAAAGATTCTTAATAAGTAATGATAAGTTAAGTTATAGTTTATCGAATTTGTGCATGTTATCTGAATGGGTGCCATTTACTATATAACGTAAGTGTAAAAGTGATCCCCGTTGTATATGAATATTTGGAATAAATAGGAGTAATAGCCCTGCTGAAGAAAGAAGAAGGATAATCCTATTGGTAGATAAAAAGGGTCTGTAGTCGGTTCATTTATTCATCAGATGTAAGACCACTACCGGTACTAAATTGATCAAGGATTCTAAATATTTCAGTTCCGTAAGAGACTTAATTGATTGAATTATTAACTAAACTAAGTCCTTTTTTGAGGGTCTGAAGAAGAAAAGATATGAAAAAGGATAGAATCAAACTATACACAGGTATCAGCAAACTCATTATTGTTTAAAACCGCAAGAGTAAAGCACGCTAAATATAGGTTGATATGAAATCACTGCTATTAATTATTACTCATGGTGTTAGGAGAAACGCTTTATTAGCATTGATGTTGCTGCTATCAATATCAATATGAATATTAATGTAGACGTAAACAATCTCTCTCTGAAACTGGTATATAAAGTATTTGGATAAAACGTTTATATTTCTAGTATTTCATGTCTATCAGTATTGAAAGTTGTAACTGAGGGGGGTAATTGGTTATTTTGGCATCTATTCTCTTTTTTCTCTGCCTTTTTACCGCCATACCTTGTAAAAAAACTTCTATCATAGCAGGAGCTGTTGGTAGCAGTGATTGCAGTTATTATTTGATTTCTCTTACTAGAATCACGATTTTCTACTAGACCAAAAAAGATACAAGTATTTGGAACAAACGATAATTGATTTGATTGATGATGACTAAGTCAATTAATGGATTTAATGGATGGCTTGAACGGGTGAAAAGAAAGGAATCGTAGACTTGAAGAAGTTAACTACCGTCATTCATTGAATAATATTACAAATATTCCTATCAAGAGGATCAAATCAAGAGCGATACCGATTTCGTAAGCTAAGAGTGATGATGACTCCCTAGCTAAAGTATTTTTCTAGCCGTATTTATCCCTATCATGATATTGACTATGAGTGTAGGTGTCATGTTGATCAACCAATCAACTTACCTTGCCAATATATAAATAATCGACAACTTGTTGGAAATATTGGGCATTGAGATAGGGTTTGTTAATGATAGCAGGCGATTGACAGCCATGCGATTGAGATAGAATGGAGGGATGTTGATTTCGAAAGCCTTTACATCGTGCCCAAATGATCAATCGATGGGTATAAAATGGTGTCTTATTCTCGCCGACATAAATAATTAAATCGGTCGATTGACGATCATCAATTAAATGACTTAAATCAGTAATTAAATTAGTCAAGCCAGCTTGTGATTCTTCTAATTGGGGTAATTCTTCAATTGGTTCTAATGTGCAATACTTGGGAGAGCCCATATTATTGTTGTTTAACGCCATTTTCAAGTGCAAGAAGGGGAAAGAAATTACGGCCACTTACACATGAAATCAACAATGAAATTGACCACCGAGTTAAATGACTTTCTACGTTGGTCTCTCTCGTCCACAAAGTCAACACTCGTCTATCACGTGACGATAATGGACCATCATCATCTGTCTCGCATCGCATCAGTCATTAGTGCTAGACACATCACAGCTGACTCCCAGATCACACCTGACGTTTATTAATTGTTGTCGCGACCGTTATGACCGTTAGTGAGTGTTGTAACGGTTTTGTCTACAATGGGTTATCGCGTCGTATCGCTGCGGTTGAGTCGACTGCTGTTGACGCTCCATTGTTGTATCTCCACGGACTTGTTTTCTTCTAGTAGTCTACGACTGTATCGTACAACAGTGACGGTCATATACTATCCTAGCAATAGTTGTGTTACGGCCAAGACGCGTATTGGCCGAATATAGCACGATACGAACGGTGACGTTCGGTTAGACTATTTGACTTGATGACTACGGTGACGGTACCACGGCTTCACACACTTTTGTGTGTCACTATCCAATACGGTGCATGGTTTCATACACTTTCGTGTGTCACTATCCAATACGTGCAACTTTACTGTGTCATAGTAAGTTTATAGCCCACCAAGATCGAATTTAATCACGTAAATACACCATAGCAACCTTCGATATATGTTATATATATATAACATAACTAATTAATCGATCCATGGCAGCCTAATAATTGTAAGTTGACAACGCAATAACATGGACTACTAGATGTAACTACTAGATGTAATTTAATAGTCCATGATACTAAATTTAGGTAATATTAAGTTAAATCGAGTAAATATACTATAGGCAATGTAAAAATCTGGGCAGTCTATATAAAATACTAATTAACCGATCCCTGACTGCCTAATAGTAAGTTTATAACGCAATAATACGGACTACTAGATCACATCTAGTAGTCCAGTGATCTAGTAGTCCATGACACTAAATTTAGGTAGTATTAAATTAAATCAAGTCAATATACTATAGCAATCTTAGGTGTATATAACATGGACTACTAGATGTAATTTAGTAGTCCATGACACTACATTTAGGTAATATTAAATTAAATCAAGTCAATATACTGCAGCAATCTTAGGTGTATATTATATACGTAGAATACTAAATAAATGATTTCGTGTACTTGTACTTTTTTACTTTACGCTACTAAGATTCCCGTTTAAATAATTTGTACGGGTAATATTCTACACAAAACAATACAATCAAAGAAAATTTACAGCCAAATTATTTCTTACTACCTACCAAGCATATTGATGACTGTTTATGCTAATGCATCGTATTAATGCACAATCTACACCATAGAGAGCGTAGTAGATAATTGATACGTGACACCATACCATATTGCACTGCTGGATGTGGGCTACATTAACTATACTAGCTAAAAGGGCAATTGGACTGATCATTTTGGTGTTCTACAACATTTGTAACATTATAGTGTCCTGTAAGCAGCCAACTTACTACTTTAGTCAAGGACTATTCGTCTAGGACCACGAGTAGTCCTTGACTCAGTACAGTCAGTTGTACAGTGCAGTTTACATTATTATCGTTGCAGTTTTGTACAGCAAATAGATCCGATGATACGGTCCACGGACTAATGATATATTAAGTTATTTATTATCATGGTATACGTAAAAAAGAGACAATTATGCTATGTAGGGAAGCTAATTCTTAATCATTCCATCTTACTCTAACACACGGTAATAATTTTCGGTGCTCTTTTAAGAATTTCAACTTTCGTTCTAAACTCACGGCTAGTACAAAAACTACTGGAAAACAAGAATCTTTATTCTTAGCAGTCCTTAACTAGTAGAAGCTTTATAGTCGCAGAATATGTTCGACGTTCAAGAGTAGTGCCAAATAGCAAAGTAATAAGGAGCTGCTCTATTACATTGTAATTATTATACTATCGATACGTTTCATTGAGATGGATCCGTATGATACAGTTATCCTATTTCCAATATGGATAGAGTTGTGAAACTCTCTCGTTCTTTCACATGGTAGAAGAGTCAATTATCTTATTTAACTCAAGCAAAGTATGCATCGTGAGCTCGAATTTCTGCCACACTGAGTAATGACACAAAATTCTATCTGATATGACTATGTGCTGAGCATAACCGGGCGAATAGAGATTCTAGAGAGAGACTCCGATGATAATAAGTGAGGTGGCGGTGCTAGACCTAAGGAGACTAGTGATATCAAAGAGAAAAGGACTAAATTATTTTTGGCGTTAAGATAGTCGGTGCTAGACCTAAGGGTACTAGTGATGTCGAAGAGAAAGAGATTAATTTTTGGCATTAAGATAGTCGGCGCTAGGCCTAACGGGACCACTGACGTCAAAGAGATTGCTTTTACACGTTAGGATAGTCCTATGCTATTAAGTTAAACGATTAATCAATTGTAACTGAAATCGAGAAGATTTCTTATGCATACTAGTAAATTACCCCTTCAAATAAACGGGAACATAATCTGCATAAAGCAATACATTAACAGAAAACTCAGAGCTAGTTTATCTTAATATACTGTAAGCTTACTAAAGATGAGCAACCGGCACGGTACCAAGATAGAATTAGTACAACCGAGATCGGCAAAGATTTCTTCTTTCTACTGCAGTAAACTAGTACAATATGGCTTATGGCTTAAAACGAAGGATGCGTAACAGGCAAAGCGCCTAAGCTACTAGATGACAGTAACCCTTCACCGACACCAAGTATGACTATAACGTATACCAGTATTCTATAAAAATCCACTTCATTTTAGCCTTTCTAATCCTATATTAATTATGCATCTTGACTCCATTGATATAAACTTATCAAATTTATGATCATTCGACTTTCTTATGAATATATTTATAGTATTCGATCCATTATAGTTATCTCGAGGGATAAAGATAATCACAGACCAATAGCACATACCTTAACTCAATACAAGAGCCTCTTGGGCCCTAGTATTCAATATTGGACAACAACTATTTAAATACAACAAAATGCCATCGCTGTATTGATGATGGTTGTGAGAAAATAATTCATACATGGTAAAATGAGGAAACACAACTCCACTAATCCCAAGCTCTATTAGACATGAAATGAATCCGTATTCATGAAATACATCATTAAATAGATCAATAAGGATTTATTCATCTATATTCTAATAAATTATATTGAAATAATGACAGTCTTTGAATAGGGCAATATTACATATTGCAAATATTCTATAGCCAATTGGACATCTCTATACTGTACACGATATAAATCATCCATGGTAAATTAGCATAAAATAAAATACACATTTTGCTTGTAATTTGAATGAGTCACACAAGGTAATGGCCGTGAAAGAAAGACATTGCAACCCTAATTACAACATCTAATTTAGGAAATGAAAGACGATTAGATTCCATTACTATCACCTAATAGAAAGAACCAGTATAGTAAAATGGGGACAATTCCACTAATAGCTAATTCGCTATGATGAATTTGCTTGGAAAAGGACTAATAGTTTACAATCAGTGACACAAATTAGACAGAAAAGGCAATAGTCTCTGCTGCACATACTTCAAGAATTGCATATGAAATAATACAGTAAATTCCGTTCATATCTGCTAGAGGGCACTATTTCAGTTAAGCTAGTCTATCCGTAAAATAGTTCAATAGCATCGAAACAGAATTCTAAAAATGGGATGGAATATCAACTATCCTACCGATTAGGATTTGAATTCTATATTCTCGTTATTACAAATTTATACAGTATATAGAAATCACTCGTATATTATTTTTGTGATACCGATAATTTTCATAATTGGCCATTACGTATAATACAAGAAAATTATCCCACAATATGACATTAGCTATCCTTCTATTCTTTCTAAAAACATCAGATACAGGTAAGTTCTAATTTGGTACAGTTCTAGAAATCAAACTACTTGATAAAAGTTGAAATTTCTTGACATATTTTGGTAGCCAATAAAATGTATTCAGAATTCCTTTAGCCAGCAAGATCGACAGGTTGATTACTATTATTTGGATTGGATATGGACATTTTAGCCAGTTCCAATTCTTTCTCCTGTAATAGCGTAACAGAAATGGATTACATCATAATAGTTGTAGATACGTAAATGGAACAGAATCTGCAGTAGCAGCTAAATTATTAAAAAACCCCAGCATTATCACCTAATAACTATCAAGATTGATTAAACATATTATCTGAAATCAACTTTGTAAAATATTAATCAACATAATATCATGCCTTTAGCTGCTCTTGTAATGTTTGCAATTTATTTTCATATTGTCGCTGGATAGACTGCTCAACAGCTTTCTTGACCTAATGTTGCAGTAATATCATATAACGTTATACTACAATGTTAGTATTGATACAAAAATAGGATAAAGTAGATCATTTAATCTTGCATAAGATATCAAGAAAACTAGCATTTCAAATATCACTACATCATGAAAGTCATTATATTTTGTAATGTTCTAATATTGGCAGTAACAGTTATGCCTTCAAACCTGTTGTAAAGAATGAGTTAGCTGATGCTTAATTTGCCCTCTTTCCAGTTCTAGTGTTTTCTTAAGTAAATGCAATTCGCTCTGTAGCTCTTTCGATAGTGGTGCGCGATGATTAATCGCCTCATCTTGATCAAAGACTTCATCAAGGATCTCATGACTGCTAATGTCATCATATGGAGGTAAAATTAGATCGTTGCCATCTTCGTGATGCTGGCTTTCTTCTTCTTGTAACTTAGAATAGATTTTCTCTAAATTCTCTTCCATAATTTGTTGGTCTTGCAGTAAATTAAGCATCTATCCATTTTAGAGTAGAATAAAGATTTCTTAGTTCCCCTCTTAAATGATCATACTTTATCACATTATAGAGCTGTATAAATCTAATGGTCAAATTACCTTCTGACTTAAGGCTAAACCAATATCATATCGATAGTGATTTTCGTGTGTAAAAAACTATAGGCAGTAGAGAAAGGGACAATTGTTAGAATTGAACTATTAAATGTATCTCAGAAACTGATACAGTATATGAGCTAGCTATATTAATGAGTATTAAAGTTATAATTATGGAAATCCCAACTGTAAATCTATTTATCTTATATTGAATTTGCCTTTTTGTCATTTTCTTTCATAATGGCTAATTTCTTTTTATGTAAATTAAATTCCAAGTCTTCAATTTCCAGCATAATTTCTCTTCGTAATACCAGTAATGACTCGATATCATTTCTAAAATGTGGATAGACTTGATTAGATAAATCAAAAAATAAACATCACCAGCAATATAACTGAGATGTGGCGTAACAATATGCTACACGACAGCTCTGCAAGGAAATTAATAGTCCATCTATAATCACACTGCCACCCGCATACAGAATTGCGTTCATCATGATATAGCTACGCCAATTCAGCAATTCGAATCAGCAATTTGAAATCAATCACTTTTTTATAGACAAATGAGATCTCACACCACAGCAATAGACCGTATTGTACTATAGATCCTTTAATTTTGCAGCGATAGAGAAAGTCTCATTCATTATTATAAAAATACATAATTTACCTTAATTTACTATCCTTCTTAAATTTATCTATATATTGTTTAGTGCTGTCGGCAATATTATTTTGCTCTTCTTTATAAACGTTCAATGCTTCTTCAAGCATTGCAATCTCTTCAAAGGCTCTCTATATAATAAGTATCATCCATTTTTAAGTTGATCGATCAAGAAATTCTGCTATTCATATCATTTTACAAAGTGGAATCATTGGTAGGATAACGTTGTGTATATATAATAGTGAAAACCTACTTCTTTCCCTTCAGAAAGCACAGACTCGTTCGATCGCTTATCAAAGACATCATCGGATGCGGTATCGAAATAAAGGCTGGCACTACTTAATGTCTACATAAAAATTATAAAGATAAATGGTCGTTGGATATTTTTACCTTCGTCATGTAACTAACAATGTATTAACAATGGCTCCCCTGCACTATCTCTTCACGATATTATAGTTACTACAGATGAGAAAATCAATTTAGAAAGGTTTTATTAAAGGTTTTATTACACACTTACAGCTAAGGATCGATCAACCGGTATTTTTCGTTTCTGTCTATGCATTACGGCATTTTCTTGAGAAGAATTGCCATCTTCAGGTGTATCTGCGTTTCATTGCATTGAAGAAATTATAGCAGATACCAGTTTAGATGCTATAAGATATCTCAATCTTCGTCTTCATACAACACATTTTAAACTGAACTACACCTTTCTTATTTACTTTAATCCATCTGAGACACTTATTACTATCGTATTGAATATTTAACTGTAGTAAAATCGATAGATAAGCGACTTTGCAGGGTTACGTCTGTAAAATTGTACCGATATAATAGAAAAAGGGATCAACTATTTACTATTCGATCAATCTCACCTTTAATTTCCCTACTTTCAGGCCAAGCTACCGACTTTTCTTTATTTACTGCAGGCTTATCCAAGTTATTATCTTCTACCTTCGCCCCTTGCTTACTTTCAGCCACTTCTTGTGTAATATACTATACGAATATAATGTATTTAATATCAAGATTACTACCTGTGCTGATGATAACCGATGCAACGTGGCAGATATTTAAAATAGCGTATCGAAATTTTCTATATGACTGACCTCTGGATTGCATACCGCATGTGATCTCGTCAATAGGCCACGTTTACAAGGTCCATCATCAATAGAATGCTTTGAATTAGATGGGTTATCATTACGTTGAATATTTTCAGATAGTAATTTGATTTGATCATTTAGCGATGCGGATGAAAGTCGTCTCCTTCGCCCATCGCTACTCTTCGATGTCATCGATGTTTTTCGACTTATTGTTACAGTTTCTATTTCACTATTATGATCATCATAATCTGAGCTTGAAAAGGTTCTGTCAGAGCTAAGCGCAGTTCTTGATGTTGGAGATGATGGTAATGATGATACAGATGTCGATTTCTTCCGCAACGAATCAAGTACAATGTAGTTTTCACTGGAAAAGGCACCGGCATCATCATAACGATAGGGTATTGGCATACTTTGATATTTTTGATCCTTAAAATATTTGCTATCAAGCTGACTATCATCAACCGATTGACTTTGACTTGATCTTAACCCTGATCTGATTTTGCTAGATCGTTGACGTAAGCCATGAAAGAGTTGTTTAATTGTGGAAGATTTACCAGGTGATAAACTAGAATTTGCTTTCACTTCTTGATCAATACCGTCGTTTGGTGCAGTGTCTGGAGAATTGGATTCAATGAGTTGATAAGAAGATTCACCCTTAGGCAATGATTGTAAAACTTGGTCATCAATTTCTACAAATGATGAAGAAGTTATCCTACTTAAAGGCCGGAATATATTAGAATCTGGACTATAATTATGGTCATTTTTATCACGACTAGTAAATACGTCATCGTCATAACTGCTCTGAAGACTAACGCCATTAAGGTGGCTTTCCGATTTTGCGTTGACGATTGGATGATTATCACGACCAGTAGTTAAATTTGGGCTAGAGTAGCGTAATTTAGACTTAACAGTTTGTAAAGTATGACCTTTATGTTTTAAATCAACGTAGTCTCCGACAGGAATACATTTCGATTTGGACTGCTTTTCATCAGTCTCCACTTCTTCTTCATCATCGGCGCTAACGCGAACATGAAAATGATGCGGTACTCCAAATACACCGTCTTTAATCCTTGAACTTAACTTTAACGAATTTAGCAATGTTGCAATGTCAATACCTTGAAATCGAGGTGGAATTCGATTTAATATACTTGTAATGACATCATCTGTAGGTAAACTGCCGCCAAAACCTAGCGAAAGTAATATTTCCTCAGGGTTGCCACGTCTCAATTTGAGAATATCTTGTAAGCTGTATAAGATGAATATAGTAATGATCAATTAGCTATTAATTATCAATACTTTTACCATAATTTATTCACTTCTTATGTACTAAATTTAATAATCTAAGGAGATCGATACCCCATGCTATTGATCATAACGAAAACAAAATAAATAGGGAAGCAAAATACTAGTGGCCCTAGGTTAAATTAATAGTGCAGAAAATGGGTAGGAATCTGTAGTTTAAAATAACAACAAATGCTCAACAAAGCAAGTTCAAATAGATGCTCAAGTAATTACTTCTATAAGCATCTAAGGGAAAATTAAAAATGGAGAAATATCAAGACTCTGAATTAGATGATACGTGATTGAAAAACTTCATTCTGTAGTTAGGATTACTGAATTCAACATCTAATTCAGCCTAGTACAAATTCATGGTTTTCCATTTGATTTTACCTTAAAGTTTGACGATCATTGGGTCCTTGAAGAAATAATTTACCATCGTCGAAAACAATACTATTTTGCCTATTGATTTTATCGTGATGATATTCTTCGCTACTGCAAAAGCGATCCGGTATCCTGCACAAAAATCATTATTAGTATTCTAAATAAATGGATGTGCTAGTAGCTGAATAAACGGTCTATACGTAGTATGATAGTCGAAAGTACTATTTATCCACGTATAGAGATTGATTGCATAAATTTTTAATTTTATTCATTCAATTCCAATATGATTTATATGGTAGTATATCATTTTAATTGACCCTCAGTTATTGATATTAATTTCAACGGAAAGTATGTAGCAGTAATACCCGGTAATTAGTTTTTAATCCCAACTGCTGTACTCAACAATCAGAGTTTAATTTCCAAATTGAAATTAAATTCGTATGCTTCTTATTAGTCTACTTGAAAATTTGTCTCATAATTTTAGAAAGTGCATCAATATAACAAAAACAAAGACAGAAGTAAGGTTTAGATTGCTAAAGAAAACTCTAACGTTATGTTTCTTATAACGTAATTACAGAAGTGACTTTATACTGTCCATACAGGGTATTCAGTACGGTTTTGTTCAGATTTTGCCAAGAATTATAGTGGCATTTGCAATAGCTAGTTAGTTATTACATATCACTTTTGCTAAAGTAAATGGTCGTCAAAGTGTGGTAGTAGTGGATCATGAAAAGTTTCGTTTAACAGCGAATACTTTGATAAAATGGGTTATACATGTCTAAGTGGAAATATATATAGCATTATAATATAATTAATAAAAGGCATTTTTCATTTATTAAAGAATTAGCAGTAATTGTAAGCAATGAAAATACTGGTTTTGACGATAGATTACATCTAAATGAAGGCTATGCTTGTAAAGCTCAATGTTTTTTCTGACATATTCAAAAGAATTACCTAGAGTCTGCTGCCCAATGATACTGATTACTATCACAGCTTTGATTGATAAATGATGAAGAAGCCAGAGATTTTCTGGAGTGGTCATATCCATTTTGGCCATAGGGTAGACTTCCGTTGTGTGTTTGGTAAAGAGGAGAAATATCCTCCGTTGATTCTTCCTCAGTTGTAACAATATCACTACCTTGATGATCAATAATTTGATATTTTTGTTCATTTTCTATCTTTCGAAAAGATTCAGGCGTTCCTTCTCCTAGAAATATAGGTGATGATGACATTAGCTTACGTAAAAGACCAATACGCGTTAAAATCAATGTTGAATAGGTCACAATATCTCTGACGAGGAGGTAATATAGTCCTCAAAATTGCGTAGATGCCGTTATATATAAACGCTATTGCTTAACTAAGAATTAAATATTAATAAAATAAGATAATGAATATTGTTGCAATAATGAATTTATTAATAATATGATAATTGTAAAGATGTAAGAAACCAATAAAGACAAGAAAAATTATTTTTGAATGTTCGTCTACGCTACTAAGAGTAATCGGAAGCTCAGTTGTTATTAAAGTATTCATTTTTACGGCTTAATGAATTGCCCCTTATAAGAAAATAATGCTGCCTATATATTGTAATACCACACAATGTTATGAATCGATCAAAAACCAAAATCATAAGGTACTGTATAAAATAATTTTCCAAGCAACTACCCATAGCGTACCCAGTAATATTCTATATATGTCAAGCTATCATGCTGCACCTTTTAATACGCATTTTTACCAGTATTACCCCTTAAAATTATTGAGCTGACATTTTACAGAATATTTCTGGAATTCATTTTAACAAAAGTAGACTCTTTCAGAATTGAGTAATGTCATAAAGTCGCCTAATCAATTAAATCTACATCATAATTGCAGTTTGCTATTTTTGCTGTAGCTTGTATAGATTCGGTGCAATTTATATGAAACTTACTTCATTAAAATAGCCGGCAGAATATACTGTATACAATATATTTATATATGCGAATGTATATAAATGATAATGATTGCTGTTGTTTGGTTGAATTTGAAATTGACTCTAAATGTAATCATCAAAACTACTACTGCATATCTTAGGCATGGCAGATGTTGACAGTATATATTTTACTCGAAAAGCGTATTTTATGACCATCAATATGAATCAATCAATTATTGTGATTATTGAATATTTAATTGTACAATCAGAATATTTATAGACAAAATTTTTCTACTGATTAGATAAAATGAATATTTACTCTCCTTTTCTTGATTCTTATTAGCTCCCTATAATAGTCTCCTTTATATTCGCTATTGCATATTTAATTTAAAAATAATTACCGCGTTCATAAGGTATTGAAACTGTTTGGATTTAGCAAATACAATCGAAAAGAATAAATTAAATTCTGCTAAAGAAAGACTGCCTTGTAACTATCACGGCAACAATATGATTTTGCCAATATTCGTGTGACTAAATAATATGCTACTTGGTTAGATGGTAATTTTGGTCGCATTTTGTGTTATTCTTATATAACTGACATTCGATCGCTAGCTACTCATTTTGAACTTACGTATCGACTCTATCGATTAAGTGATAGCTTAGTACTAATTGAAAGTGCTCAATCGATAAATTCTTAGAACGCTCAAAATCGCAGAATAAACGTATTATGTGCCTATCAGATCGAGAGTAATTGAAGTTTTTACTGTCCATAAAAGCTTTATGCATTTGTAGCTATTGTTATTGTAGGCCACCTTGGCAAGGAAATGAATACACAGATTATTGCTTATATAGTATGAATAATGACAAGGCACAGTTGGTTGCTATTTATCAATTAAGGAATAATCAAGACTATTAAAGTGAATGAATGGAAGCCGATTGCGGCATTTTATTAAATAAAAAAGTAATTCTATTAAGATCCATCGATGTATTAATGATCCGAGAGTCAATGACAATTGTCTGACCTAGTGTATTAATTTTCAACGTTAGATGATTGAACACCTTATTACGACTACATTCGATGTAGAAGTTTGAGTTGGAGCTAAATAATGTTCAATTTATTCACGGCTATCCTTAAGACAAGAACCTATAAAGCTACTAAAATGAGTCGTCTCTAGTTCAGACTGATTGAAAAGATTACATGTCTTTACTTAGAAAAGCGGTTACGACATAATTTATCATTTTTTCAACATTGAATTATTGCATGTCTTGCAATTACTGAATTGGAAATTAGGAATTGAGCAAGGACTAACTGAAAAATATTCATAGCTATGACTGATGAGATAAGAATTTATCGAGCCAGTAAAATGAGCCACCTCCATTTTAGATTAATTGAAAAAATTTACATGTGTTATATTGTAATAAGAATTTATCATGCTAGTAAAATGAAAGAATCTTCTGCATTGGATATAAAAATTTGAGTACTGGTAGGAACTAACTACTATAAAAAATATTCGCCGTCAAAATTAATAAGACAAGAAATTGTCAAGCTAGTAAAATGAACTGCCTCCAATTCACGGTAATCAAATTGATTGCTTGGATCTACTTAGGAATGTGCTTACCTCTTAATTTTGGCATGGAGGGTAGCCATCCTTTAAACGAAGGCTTCCTAGAACGTCCAAAAGTTGGTATAAAATATTTTTGTTGTAAGAACTGATATTGTGTAGTACCTTCTCTGCTACAGAGGTGTATTATCGTAATAAGTGATAGTGGTTCGGATATAGCAATTCAGTAATTCGAGGTCAAAGCTATACCCGACTGATTCTTTGAAAATATAATAATTAGCAACTACCTATGATCGGTAAGCTTACGAGCATTCCCTAGCAAAGCTTAATAGGATCAAATTCAATGTTTCAGACTTACATAGATAATGCTCCAATTAAACCATTAGTTCCTGCATACTGCGAAGTATTGCGTGAGGCTAAAAGAATGGAAAAAGAGTAAAAATTTTTCGAACGGATTGCCCCATATAATTAAATCTGTTCAAGGTCTGGTCTGAGACCGAACATAACTATCTATGTGCTCATTGCCACTATTTTAATAAGAATCTACCTACTTCAGTAAGCGAAAAGCTACATTTAACTCTGAATTTATATTTTATTATAACAAAATGTTAATAAAAATAGTTTAATACATACATAATTAAGCGAACGATGAATTATATTTCTATATTAATGAACTACAATTATCATATATTGTAACTGCCTAAAGATTACAGTATAATGTATTACTGGGATCTGTAAAACAAAAAGCCACTTTCTAAAGTACAGTAAATGACAAGATTAAAAGATTACATTGCATTTTTTACCTAACGAGCTATAATAACCAAGTATTGCGGTCTATTAAAGATTGCAATATGGTTTTTATAGCTATAAAAACTGAAATTCACTAGCTAAAGTAAATGATAAACAAGAACAGAAGCTAATAACTATAATAAAATAATCTAACAGAGGTGAAACGGTTAACTTTTATGAAAATACAAGAGCGCTAAGTTTCCTTTTCCTAAATCAAGATAATGAATCACTACTTACGAGCTTGAGGAGAATACTGACTTCGCTGATTTGGATAAGGCTGATATTTATGTTCTTCGGTTGTATCTAAGTCATAGCTTCTGTTTTTTTTTTTCATATTTTCTAAATTGAATTCCACATTGCCACTACTATTTCCTCTTGGTCGTGAAGTTTCTGTCAATGAAATAGAAGTTGGGTTGTAAACTAATTTGTGTCTATTCGGCACAAATTGTTTGCTATTGTTGCTGCTACTCAATCCTGGCGTTTGGTTTGGATTATCGGCATGGACACGAGCAGCTTGCAATGTGGGAGCTTGAAAGTGAGATTGGGAATGGGACCTACAGAAATCATTAATATCAAAATCATCAGAAATTGTGATTGGCACCATGTTGATTTTTCTAGTGCAGTATAAATAATCAGGAGCCATAAACTAATGTTTTGCTTTTAAGTGTTTGTCATATTACATCATTCAACATGGTCAAGAGTAATAAAGCTAACTTGATTAATATCCGTTCAAAATAGCCTCCGTACCATCAAATAGTTATGCAATTGAAAATAATTCTCATCATGTGCTAATTCTAATCCCGTGATGTCATAGAAGGATATCAACTTGAAGCATTTAATATAATACAGAGTTTACTCGGAAATGGATGAAAGCGAAAAAATAAATTGCGGACACACAGGCTTGTTTAGAATAATGTCAACGAATGGACACTGAATTCCAACGAGATAAATTTAAAATCATCAATATCGCCCTTGTAATAACACCGTTTAGTTGTGTTACTAGTGTAAGATGAGATAATTACTGTCATTCTCGACAATAACTAAAGTATAAATGAATTCTTTTCTCTTCTATTCGATAACTTGAAAACGTAAATACACGTGTATAGTCGTCTAAAAAATACAGACTAAAGTTATGGTTGGTTAAGCCTAGTAGGCTATTTTATTACATGTATACTATGAGATAATTACTGTAGTTCTTGACGGTCACTAAAGTATCAAAGAGTTCTTTCTTTTTCTAGACCACTAGAAAATATAAATCTAGTTGTCCAAGAAATACAGATTAAATTTTAGAGATGGTCGAGCCTAATAAGTTGGATTCTTGTCGGCACACCATGAAATAACTTACTATAATTTACGATACTAATCATAATATCAAAGAATTTCTTCTCTCCCGCTAGACTACTAAAAAACGCCAGTATAATTATCCAAGACTAAAGTGTAGGATGGCTAAGACTAGTATAGTAAAACTATGACAATTATTAGAGTATCAAACATTCCTTCTCTTCTAATAAATTACTAGAAAATGCAGACGTAATTATCATAGACTAGAGTTAAGATTGGTTTAGCTTAATATACTAAAATATTACAAATATACGATAAGCCAATTTACAGTAAATTTCGATGCTGGCTATAATACCGAAGAATTCTTTCTTTTCTACTAGACTACGAGAAAATGCAAATGTAATTGTATAAGATACATAGACTAAAAAGCTTAGGCATTGATAAACATAGCATGGTACAAAATGATTTATTCATATGCTCTGTTGATAATAATAAATCTTGATCTAATAATAATTAGGGTGAGGGTGAATAGATGATTACATTTGCCTTTGAATAACGAGTTGCCTAAATACTCTATACCATTCAATAGGGAAAGAATTGATACTTAGAAAATATCGGTCATAAAGAGGAGTCTATGTAAATTATAATGTCAACAGTCGAAATTTACCGTAAAGAATAAATTTACGTTCATAATAGCACTAATTAACACAGCTGAAAGCCTTTAGTATCAAGACTTTGAAAGAATATATTATCAATCAACATCAGTTCAATAAAAATTGAGGTTCAATAGAAGATTGGGTGATCATGAATGGCCAAATGTAATTTAGATAGATTATTATACAAATCGTGTTAAGACTGTCACTATAAATAAGAAAATCGTCATAATAAAAATATTGATAAAAATATTTTGAATACATGGATCAATAATTACCCTAAAAAGACAAGGAATTTATTCGGCTATAGTATTGTAGGGGATTAAAATTGATACCATAGGGTGTGGATGACTGATCATAAAATTAAATTATTTCAAATTTAGAAATTTGAGGATAAATTTCGGTTCGTACTGAAATATTTAGTGGCTTAATGGTATGTAGAGTAATGACGATTAAGCAAAATGATAGAAAATAATTATCTCTAGAATTGAAAATCTGGTCATTAAATAGGCTGAGCTTAATCTAAAGTTAAGGGTATCAAATAGAATAATAAAATGAAAAATTAGAAATTGGCAGACATTATCGGATAATTCATGACAATCTTAAAATATTGCAATGGCTCAATGTCATGTGGAATATGGAAAGTGAAACGTGAATACCGCCATATTGCGAAGCAATACAGTGTATAGTCATTACTGGAAATGATTATTGCTGTAACTGAAAATCTACCCATTAAATAGGCTAAGCTTAATTTATAATTAAGGCCTTAATGTAGAACAGCAAAATAAAAAATGAAAAATCGATAAAAATGGTCAGATAGTTCATAACGTGCTTAAAACATTCTAATGGCTCAATGCAATGCGGAATACATATGATAAAGAAATTCCAAGAGAGTCATGAATATCCATATTGACTGGAATATACATTGGCATTGTTAAAAAGTTATTTGATTATTACTGTAACTGAAAATTTATCCCCTAAATAGGCCAGCCTAATTTAAAATGAAGGCCATCACATAGAATAACAGTGTCAAATCAGAAATCTGTAGAAATGGCCAGATACCGGTAATTCATGATATGATTAGAATAGGCTAATGGCCCCTTGCAGCGTGGAGTATTAAAATGTGATAATGATGTACTGGTACCTGAAGAAAGGCGGATATTGCCATATTGAGATGAATATACAATGCATCGACATAGCTGAAAAATGATTATTGCTGTAACTGCAAGTCTACTCGCTAAGCTCAATTTAAAGTCAAGGCTGTCAAATAGAATAGCAAGATGGAGAATTAGAAATTTGTAGAAATGATCAGATAGTTCACAATATGCTTAAAATATGCTAATGGCGCATTACAACATCGAGTATTGAAATGTGATTATGAGATACAAAAAGAAATGCGAATATCGCTATATTAAGAGGTAATGTAAGGTATCAGTATTATTAGAAAATGGTTCATTCTCTTTTTCGATTATCTTTAAATACGAGTACAGTATCCAACATTCCAAATTGAAATTTCCAATGCAGTTGAAAATCTTAGGAGCTAAAAAATTTGTTTTAGTCTTTGCGCGAAGATTGATTACAAACAAAAGTAAACAACTAGCAGACAAAATAAATGTCAGGCACTAAAACAGAGAAACATGGAGTTTGACAGCTAGGCATGCATGATCAAAGTAGGATTACTACTGTTATTGAGAGTTTGATAATTCAACAAAATGTGATAGAAAGACACCAATACGTGAAAATAAATTTAAAAAGGAAATGGAAATAGTGGACATCGTTGTATGAGCAAAAATACCATAACTTAAGTCATTATTGAAGAGTATAATAACAATAGGCACGAATTATCGATTTTTTTCTGAAGAAGTTAAGGAAGTGGAGTTGCAATTTATCTAGCGATGAATTGCGCTGAAAATTCAATAATCTAAGAAATTGTGAAACCTTGAATGTAATGGGATGGGATAGAATGATGATAAATGGTGAAAATTTCCCTATGGTGTATTACTAAGGTTAATAATCTACACTAATCCAGACAATTTGTTGAAATGTGGGGTAATGATATATATCATCATGAAAGGGTAAAAGCATTACATCAAATAGAAAGATACGAAGACTTGAATAACGAAGAGATATTGGCCAAGAAGAATGAATGCTACTGTCGAGGTAGCCTTTAGTTAAAATGAGGGGACAAGAACATCAGCAGTTTGGTAATAAAGGGTATCCAAAAAAAATTAATCGGGGTTTCAAAATGTTTAAGTGTTTAGTGGTTACATAGAAGAGAAAAACTGAGGCTGATGACGATAAAAATTAATTTATATCGTTGCTGAGATACCCAGTAGCTAAATAATAAATAAAAAATATCAAAACTATAAGAAAAAATCTAATAAAATGTTAAAGAACTAGTAAACATTTACACTATAATTGAAAATCTGGCAATACACTGCGATGGTACAGAAAATGATATACGAGTATATGGAAAGGAATAAAAGTGGCCTAAAGCGAATGAACCAGTGAGAGCATTACTATAATAGATATACACCATGATTTAGATCTAGCGGTTCAATTATGAAGGGAAAAATCGAAGTAGAAGAGGCTGAGAACGAAATAAAAATCGCAACTAATTTTTATTAAAATGTGATTTATGTGACGGTCCAAGATCAATTGATTCGATAGAAGATATAGGAAGTAAATAAAAAGGGGCTGAAACGGACGTAAAACTGTATTATTGCTATAAGAGGACTATGTCTACTAGGGTAAATTTAGGAATTTGTTAATTTAAATTTGAAATTCTGTCACTGAGAAATACTTTGGGACTAAAAAATTGAGAGCAATATTGGTAATATAAAATCTTCACCAAATAAAAATACACTGACGTACAACTATAAGATAATTATCACTGCTAGTGAAAGTTTAGGAATTTCATAGTAAAGGATTAAATTGAAATAGACTCAAAAATATTGAGGTTTTACCAATGCGTAATATTCACAAATATTGCTACAAAATGATAATCAAAGGTTATTGTAAATTTAGGAATGTCATCGTAGAGAAATGCAATAGGGACAGGCTAGAAAAATGTGGTTTTATTACCAATACATAGTTTTCTTTTCTAATGAACGTCTATAGTAACTGGGAAACTGGCCAAGAGAAACGGAGCAAATGGAATAAATATCTGGTATTACCGCATTGCTAATTTAGTTCTAAATGGTGGACCGACGTTGAATATTTAATAGTTTTATAATTTGAGAAAAAAGAACATCCTAAGTTAAAAGGAAGATATTAAAAAAGCAAAGTAAAAATGGAAAGTGACGTTTATTTGGTCTTAATTATTAAAGCGCCATGACAGCCTTTCAATAACAGATTGCGAAACGCAGCAATTGAGCGAAAACTACGCAATAAGAAGAAATTGAAATTGTTGACTGTCTTTCTATAGAACAGAGTCTAAAGATGTATTTTAATAGCGATGAAAATATTGTTCTCCTGCTCAATCAATCAGGATAGACAGCAGCTATGATTACAAATCATTAAAATGCTATTCTGCTTTAGAGTAAAAATAGACTGATTTTTAGCTGTATTACACCAGTATACTGTCTCAAGTGATGGCTTCAATTTTAAATTGAATTTTGAAAAATAGTCCTGTAGATGGGCGTAAATGATTCGTCAGATTAATGTATTG